GTCAGACCTCTCTAAGTGCACCTTCTATAAGTGCACACCCTCTCTAAATACACACTCAGATGTTGGCCCAAATATATGTTTGACCTCTATAAATGCACTTTTTTTATTATTCTCTAATGCACGTTGTTAAATTGTGGTCCCAATAGCGTGCACTTAGAGGTCTGACTGTATAAAGTCATTTAAAAATAGGAACTGTTTATTGGAACTTTTGAAACGTCCGGTATAATTCTATGGTTGCTCATGAGTTGCAATTAAGCATATCATTTCAACAAGCATACATAATAAAGTAAAATCAGAGACTTAATTTTACAAAAAAAATTGATAAAAATTGCATCAACTTTACTAGTATTAAGTTTGTAGGTGCAATGAACCATTAAAAATTAAATGTATAAAAATAGCTTTAAATTAACATTATATTTTTGTTTTTAGATAAGGTTTACAGACTTTCTTGTAAAAATATAAAATTTAGATGTATCAATTTGACAAACTGACAAACATTTCGAATTCCTGTAGAAGAAAAGTCCCTTGCTTGCTATTAAACTTGATCATTAAAATAACTTATTTTACATCTTTTCCGCCTTGATTTTTTCCAAGAATTGAATAGCCTTAGGCTGACCTTTTAAAGCAGCTAATTTAATATATGGTTCAGCCTTTACTTTATCAACCGGAACGCCAAGCTTCCCTTTCCAATAAATATCACCCAAGTTAAAAAGAGCAGTAGGATTTTCATGATCAGCGGCCATAGTCATATACTTAATTATTTCTTGTACATTTAACTCATTTAAATCATCTTTATATTCAAGATATTCAAGAAGAGCAAAAGCATATCGAAGTTGAGCATCAGGTATACCATTGTCAGCAGCTTCTTTAAAGAGCTTAAGCGCAGCTTGATAATCCTTTTTTACGACCAAACCGCTTAATAAATAATAACCTTGCCAATATTTTGCCACGTTATTTCCAAGTTTTGCATGACCTACAAAACACTCCCAAGCAATATCGTGCTTTTTTTCTTTGTGTGCTTTAATGCCCTCTTCAAAAGGCATCAAGGGTTTTATCATAGGTATTGTGAAGTCAAAACCATCACGTTCATAAAGAGATTCACAACCATCACATTCATAAAGAGGTTCAAATTGTTCAATAGATTGTTTAGAATCGGAAATGATAACTTTTTCTTGAAAACTTGTAAGTTCTAAACCTGGAATATCACCAGAGTCGGTTCTTTTAGGATGTATTTGAGGGGAAATTCCTTTAGAAAATACATGTTCATTAAAAAGATCTTTAAGTTTTTGTCGCATTTCTATGTTCGAAGGACGTGCAGAAGGTTCATCTTCCCAAGCTTGGTAAATAAAAATTAATTTTAAATAAGTAATTAAAATTGACAATTAATTTGACAATTAAAACAAATGTAAATTACAAGGATAAATTATATTTACCCCTTTTAATGAGTTTATAAAGCTCTCTTGGAATTGGTGATGGATCAAGAGTGTTTTCAAGAACTTCACGCTTTTTATTTATCACATGCTCTTGGATAGTACTTACATCCATATCTTTATAAGGAAACCTTTGATGACAAAGTTCCCAAAGCATCATTCCAAAACTATGATCAAGAAATCATGTGTTAAATAAATTTATAAAAAATGTTGTAATGCTAAGCTTGTTATGTATTTCATTACCTGTACATTTCACATTGATGATTATATCTTTGTTGCGAAGATTTTCGCATTTTTTCGGGCGCTAGCCATCGAATATTATTAATTTTTGAAGATACACCTTGCATAGAACGACTGAGTTCGAAATTAGAAATTTTAGTCTCAAATCTATCAGTAACCTATTATTTATTAAAAAAAAAAAGTCAATAAGTTATAGAATTTATAAGTTAACAATTATTAGCCTAATAATTATTAGCCAATAGTCAGTCAGCTGAAACTATTAGGCAGCTAATTGACTAAAAATCATGTTGATAAGTAAGAGTCATATCCTGTGCAGTTGGGTATAAGCGGAAATGAAATTTCCGCTTATACACATAGTGCCCAGGGTATAACTGATTTATACCCTGCGATCTTGATATAGTGACCAGGGTATAAACAAATTAATTAACCGGCCAATCGACTAGTAATTACTATTTTTTGAGTTATATACGCACCAAGATATTCTCACATCGAACGTCGTGATGATAAAGATTACATTGATGCATGAATACTAGACCGTTACAAATATCACGTGCGAACTGCAATTTTGTAGACCAACCAATATCATATTTTAAATACATTTCGCGTAGATTACCATATGCAGCCCAATCATAAATCATAACTTGACTATTATCCACATACGAAATTCCATAAAAATTGATAATAAACGGGCAAACGCCTAATTTAAGAAGAGCAGCTAATTCAATTTGTTGTATTTTATTAAGAATTTTTTCGACTTTTTCATCACCATCTTGTCCGGAATCGGTAAATTTAACTTTTTTACATGCAACTTCTATCCCACGGAAAATTTTTTTATGGACAGTTCTTTCGGAACCACGAACATTATCATTAGAAACAAATGGTTCTGATAATTCACTTGGATCTACTCTAGGAGCTTTATATTCTTCGATCAGGGGACCTGTTTTGTCCACTGGAATTTCACCACCCTTGATTTGTAAATCTAGTTGATTGGCACTTGACATCAATGTAGTAACTTCCGTTATTGCTAACCTTATTTCAGCGATTTCATCCTTCATTTCATTCATTGCCTATAGTGAATTGAGGTTTACACATAATGTAGTAGAAAATAAAAAAATTTGTAGATTAAAAATAATAGATTAAAATAAAATGTTTTAAAATCACAACCATACAATACCCTTTTCAACATTTCAAGATCTTCTGCCTCAATTTCTCTTTGTTCAGCATTATACATGGCCATAGTAAAATTTAAATCACTATAAACTTCTTCAAATTCTT